TTATAAACAACTTTGCACCTGCAGAGACCTTTCTTTAAAACATGTCACTGATTTTCAGAGACAAGGGCAACCCATTTTCAAAGAAGACTCCCCTCAGTTTTTCTGATAAATTTGTATTTCTTGACTCATAACAGCAAAATTATCCATAATGAAAATTAAGACATTTTAAATTACATATTCAGTCAAAAATCTAACAAATCTTCATGAGACAGTAAGAATTAAGCACTTACTTTTACTTGAAGATCCTCAGAGCTTTCTGTGACATGTACAAAGAAAGCAGCACTGGCAGAGTGTTTGTGACTGCGACGGCCCGTGCATGCTCCGGAGTGTGTCTCCCAATCTGTGCCATGGCCCAGGCAGTGGCAGCCCTAACGTGATCTGGTTCTTCTGACAAGCAGACTGACAACTGGGGCACACCCTGCAGCGCTGATCAACAGAGCAAGTGTTATGAAACCAGAGCAGGATTAAATAGTCTCCCGTGTCTCTCAAACATTAGAAGAAATCATTTGGCCTTGATCCTTTCTTCCTAGATGGTTCAATAAACAAGCACAGCACAGGGGCTGTCATTTTTCAAGTCAATAAAATGACTAGAACTAATTTACCTTAATGATCTGTTACAATCCAACTACTCTACCTCTGCTAGCATGTACTTGCCAAATACAGAAGCATTTAACCAAACAACAGAAGCCACAGATTAGTACGTAGGTAAAACAGATTCCACTGGGACAAATTTTAAACGCTTAGATTTTAAAACCTTTTATTTTTCTTTGTTAAAATGTTAATTTAGAATACTTTAAAATTGCCTTTTCACTAAGTATAACAGATCCGACAACAAAATAACTACTAGAGATTTGAAATCCAATGAATAATGTGAGCCAGAATTCTATTTAAGTAACATTTAGATGAACTATATTTACTAGAACCTTTCCTACACTAGTAATTAAATTCCCATTAATTTTGGTCAACTTTTAAATGGTAGTTTTGCCCATTTTAACATGATTGTCAAAGTAGAAAGTATTACTTTTGTTACACAGATAGTGCATGCTTGTATTTTGCACTTTAGGCTTCAGTTTTATCTAAATAAAACAGAATTAACTAAAGGGCCTCAAATATATCTGTTTCTATATCTAAGGAAGAATCAAGTTGCCAAATCAAAATACAATTCCAGATTCTGTATAGGAATAACTTTCTAACTAATTTGAGACTATAATAATTATCACCTTTTAGTACCACTAAAGTCAAGGTCACACTGCTATGCTACCATAGCAAAGTCCAAATGATCATATACATTTTTTTTCTCTGTGACTTTAAATTTGGTTATTAAAACCAATTCCCTGAAGATACGCACCATATTTCTTCACTGACTTCTTTTTTCCCAACTAAAAATGTTTGTCTGTCAATACGAAAGGTCGGAACTGTCTTCAGGATGAGGGAACTTTCCAGAAAGCTCATACTCTGGGACATATCAAGACTGAAGAAGCAAGAGGAAAAGAAGTCAGCCTCCTCCACCCCACCCTCAGTAATTATGAATAGCAAACGAGATAAGAAACAAGAATGTGATTTGAAAATTTCTAAGTATTGTTTACATGTGAAGTATTTTTAGTCTTTAGAATACTATGTAGGAAAAAGAAGAACACAGAACTGTGCAGTTTGACTCAAACTGCTGCTGCCACCTTGATCTTCAACTGACTGAGACACGGAGGTGGGAGAGGCCAGCAGCCTCCTCAACAAAGGAGGGGGGCACCTCTTGGTTAGTTTGGGGAGGAAATACAGGAAGCAAAAGCAATTGCTGCTTCTTTCATCATTTTTCCTATGTATAAGGTTTCTGCGATCCACAAAAGAACCAAGAATCAAAAATCCCAGTAATATCCCCACAGTGACCCTTCAGAAGCAGCACTCCTGTTCTAGTCACTATCATAGTCTTTGGTAATAGAACAAAAGGAAAAGCGTAGGATAAAAAGCGAGCAAAGCAAAGAATTATCAAGGTAGGAAATAAAGATCTGAGGCTCCCTTTTAGTCTGAGGATTAGCGAGGGCTAAAAAAAAAAAAAAAAAAAAAAAAATCCACACTTCTGTTTAACATACAGCAGCAGGCTTTCTGCGCTGATAAGAAACCCACACCCTAGAGGGTTGGTGGAGACACTGTAAGCACACAGCCCCTGAAGCGCTCCTCAGGAGATTAATTCTTATCCATAATTCAATCAATATTTCTGAGCACCTACTATGTGTCAGGGCTACACCGTATGGTGGGTTAATACCAAGTTGTAAATTGAAATGAGGTCAAATTCCTAGAGCAAGGACACAAAACATCACTGTCTGACATGTGCTCTGAATTGCCTACATCTAAAAAGAGAAATTTAGTTCATGAAAGCTGAAGGACAGTGGATAAAAAAGGATGTCCCAGCCATTGTCATCTCCTACCCAAATGACAGGTAAGGGGAGAATGACCACTAGGCATGTAATTTGTAACAGTTGTCTTTAATCAAAGTATGCTTTACATATTTGTAAATATATAGTCAGTCCTTCAGGATACAAATACACTGAATAGTTCAATACAAGTAATACTAATACTCGGAGGTATGGATATTTTGTAGATATTAAATACTGAGTAAAACTTTAAACTGCCTACAAAGTAAACCTTACTTCAAGCATTGCTTTTAGAAACTTACTAATTAGCCTTGAAAACAGGCTGAAAAATTCTTCAAGTTCCTTTCATTCTGGTCAGTTGCATTTTATAATCTATGGGAGAGTATTACTATGGTTCTGTCTTAGAATATCTCACTGCAATAACTAGATGAAAAGCAAGCAAGAACAAACCTTGCTAATGATCACCGCCATTGCCAGGTTCTCAGAATGAGCCGCCACATAACCAAGCATCATGATGCCTTATGTTTCCTTTGCAAGATCCAATGCAGTCAATCATGGCGGCAACTCCTGCGTTCAGTGTCAGCTGCAAAAGCTAAGGGAAATGTTGATGTTAAGGGAAAGGAAGGAGAGTGCAGTAATTGTGACGGTAAAGCGTAAGATGATCTTTAAACATGACTTTAATATTGCCAAACATTTTTACTTAGGACCTAAAAACACCTGGTGAAATTTGAAATATGATTTAGTGAAATTACTCTACTTATTAAAAAAATATACAAGTATAATAATCCTATTTTGAATGTATAAATATACCCACTGTATGGAGCTTACTCTGTGCTTCAATTTTCATGCAGCTATGGCACAACTTTTATCCCTATTTTAATAGATGTCAAAATTCCTCACCTAGACACTAAGCCTAGGGCTAGTTCATAACTAGCTAACTACTGAAAGCCCCAATCACAATTGTGAGTATGAAGCAGATTACTCACTGAATGCTGAACGACAATGTCAGACTTGAAGTATCCTAGCCTAATTATCCCCCTTGCGAACAATGGTTACTAGCTATTTACACTTCAAAAATAAGAAATCTCAACCAAGATGTTAGGTGAAATAAAGAATGAGGACTTTAAACCTTAAACTTTAAATGAAATTGATTAGTCATAACATACACAGGAAAAAGATACAACTGCAGAATCCACCCTATTCCTTTGGCATCTAAGAACTCAGAGGGGGAACCACCACGTAAGACCAGCTACTAGAGCAGTCATTCTAGGCTAGGGGCCTGGTGGTCTCTCCCGCCTGCAACTGGACAACCTCTTACTATTCCCAGCTGACCTAAAATGACAAGAATGGCAAAGGTCTACAGTCCCCACAATCTAGAAATGGAAAGCAGGAAATGATTAGAAACTGAGATTTCTGTCTCAAACTCCATTGATATAACCCAGTAAGGTTCTCAACAAGGGACACTTTTGTCCCCTGAGAAATATTTGGCAACATATGGAGACACTTTTGACTGTCACAGTGAAAAAAGATATTACTGGCAGGGGCCAAGGATGCTGCTAAATATTCATCCTACAGTGTACAGGGCAGTCCCACACAACAAAGAATTATCTAGTCCAAAATGTGCATAGTGCTCACAGTGAGAAGCCCTGACCTCACCAAATCGTGTGGCACAGCACCTGGGCCTTGTATACAGCTGGTGTTTTACTTTACAAAGAAAACTAATATTATTGTGTTTAAAAAGCTTTTTATTTTTACCTTGGCTGTATGTTGTGCTATCTTCTTAATTAAAATAGAAGCATTTTTCTTCATGTATTCATCTTTGTCTCTCAGGCAGGTAGGTACAACTGGAAAAATCTCTGCTTCAGCCACCATTTCTGCCAGACCCACAGACTGTTTTGCCACCCGAGAGTGGAAAGGACCTGAGGCTGTCAAGCGAAAACCAAAATAAAACAAAGCATCACATAGAGTCCACTGCAGAGATCAGGTATAATTTAAATAGCTTAATATGGTCAAATTCCTTTATAAAAAGAAAAAACAATTACATTTGTAACATAACTTAAGATTTCTGAGTTTTGAGACATTCTCATCCTAGTCTTATACCTAAATACTGAATTTCTTAAATTCCCTACTTTCCAAATTAAATGTCTTAGTTTTCTGTGGACTATTTAAATCTCTATTACAGATGATCAAAGAATATGACTTCTGGGTAAATACTATTTCTTAATTATGCAGTACTTAAATCATTAATTTACAATACATGTGGCAATATAGTACAAAAAAGATCAGGCAGAACTAACATCTTATTTTTGGTATAATGCTGTAACATTTCAAAGAACTTTCCATGTATGCTTAGTTAATATTAGCTATTTCAAAACCTTATAGGATATAACAAATTATTAGCATACAAAAGTATAATTGGTAACTATTAACTGAAAATCAGATTTTAGAAAGCTATAAAAAAGACAAACATAAATATGACAATTTTCATAAGAAATTTAAATATAATTAGTGGTGAGCTAGAAAACCTTTTGGTGCCTTCCCACCTGATTAATGAGATTCAATCATTAATGTGATTCCTTATTTTAGCAATTAATGTTAGTACTAATGCTACCTCTAATTTTTAACATTGCACAAATTTTTCCCAGTCATGTCTTTATTATATAATCCTTACAGCGTAATTTCCACACACTAAATACATAATATAGTCACATCTGTTTTCAATAATAATTTATAAATTATTTTTGAAAATACATTAAACCATACACATTTTCCATTAGATTAACAGAAATCTGTTTTTTAACTTATCTTTAAATACCTTTAATTTAGCAGCAGAGGTCAGAATCATCTGGGCTTAGTGAGCAGTAGCTCCTGCATCCACTACTGTCTGTGCTAACTCTGGAGAATGCTTTGAAATATCACTGAGGTCCGAAGCAGCAATCCTTTTCAAAGCCATTTCTGGCTCCTGGATACAAAGTACTAACAGAGGAACTGCTCCGCATCCACCACAGCTTGTGACAGTTCTGTGGGTCCAAGAAAAGTAATTAAGTGAGTATGGGTGACTGACCCTTGTGCAAGCCATTTTTCTCCCTGACAGATACAGCAAAGAAAAAAAGGGGAGGGTACTTCACTGTCTCGACATCTGCATTTCAAATCAGCCTTCCTGGTTTCATAAACCATGTGGACCAATCCTGAGCTGAAAAGAATACAGGTCAATAGATGGACCTCCATTTACATGAACACATTTGAGGTAGATTAGGCTGAAATGGCTTGTTATTCTTTTTTTTTTTTTTAAGAGAGTAAGCAGATGTCAGCTGTTTAAGCTCTGACAATTCTGCACTTCTCCGTAGGCAAGCTTTTTATGCATGGTTTACAATAACAGAAAATTAAAGTACCAAAAATTTACCAACCACACTAATTAGGCAGTATTTTGTACTATTTACATGAGTAAACATTAACATGAATCTTGTGCTAATAATGTTGAGTTTTAAATTCCATTCATCTTACAGTATTTTTTAAAGAGTTTTTAAAAATATTATATAAAATTAAAAGGTGCATTTTTATTATACATATAAAAACACTTTCAAAATGAGATCTATGACTAAACAGCATACTTTAATATATATAAATGTTGATGTTAAGATATTTATCTTAACCATTTTACTTGTCAGAAACAAACATCTTTTGAATATACACATTGATTTACTTGTGTGCCCAAGAATAACAGCTATAAAAATAACACATTTTAAATTTTAGATAATGAGAAATAGGCAGACCCATATAATATGTATGTAGAAAGACATTTTTTGAGAAGCATAAAGCACAACACATAGTTACAACATTCTACTGTCATTATATTCATGGCCTCCCTTACTTAATCACAGATACCCATATCTATAATCTCTTCTTTTCAACTTATATTTTAATTTTTCCACATATGTTGTGCCCTGACAATTTATGTCTTAATAGCCAAACTATCCATTCAGCATATCACTTAAAATCTTTAAAAAATATATGGTGTTTAATTTTTCAAAAGATGAGTACTATCACATTATCTAAAAGGGAATAATGCTAGAAAATACAAGTTAGCATCCAATATTTGTTTTTCTTAAATTATTACAATTATCTTAGAAGTCCCAATATTGTATAAACCATTCATTCTTTCATTAAACAAGTATTATTGGAAGGTCTGTATGTGCCAGATGCTTTCAATGCTAGTGTAGATGACAGACTTCTACAAATTAACACTAAATTGATTAGTGAATATGTTTCAATTTTTAAAATCTAGTGTGAAATATGAAATACAATGAGAAGTCAATATATAATATCAAGAACCAGAGGCAGATAAAAATGTTTCTTTTAAAGAAAGACAGCAGCAACAGCAGACTGGAATATCAACCTAGTATTGTAACATTCCCCAGAAGCATCTCTGAGATTCTACTGCAATTGCATGAAGACCAACATGACAGCAGGTGAAACAGGTGATCACTGTTTCTCTCTCTCCCCCATCCCACCCAGAGAAAACGGAAAGAAATATAAAGTGTGGTATTATATGTGATTTCTAGATATAATTTTCATATTTTATGTTAATTATTAACATGTTAATTCAATTCCATCTAAATTTTACAGGTGTTGTAATATCAGCTTTATTGTATATATTTGAGGGCACCTAGGATAGATATAGATATATAT